TAGATGGGGATTGAGGTTTTGTGGGCGAGATTGATGCTTATAAGGATCTGGATATCGAGGAGGATCCAATCGTGGATGCTATGGATGTTGGGGTTGCGCCCTTTGGACTTGAGAGGGGTCCAGGGTTATCAGATGCACCCGAGTCTACTGCTCCTACTAACTTAGGTGTCATTGCGGATGAGCTTGCACTCTCAACCAGTGTAGTTGAGGACCGCCCTGCAGTAGTGTTGACGCGTAATTTTATGCCCCCACCTGGCCCGATGATGATATGAGGACAAAAGATAAGGTTTCACAATAAACCAGAAGTGTTTTGAACCAAAAATTGAATCAAATTGAACCAAAAAATTTGAACCTCAAACCGCCCCTCCGAAGGAGGCCTAAACCCGTGTTAGGCTTGCGTCACGCAAGCTTAGTACCCGCCGTGACGCACTGTTAGCTGCGTCACGGCAGGCTCTAACAGGGACGCTGACACCTTTGAGCGACGCGCCCGTGCCAACGGCCTCGCGCCCCGTGCAACGACCTGCACTGTTTGTATGGATACGCGGCAATTGTACGAAAAGTAAGTCGCGTCACGCGGGCTTACGGGTGCGTCACGTAGCTCATACCTGCGTGACGCGACTACTCTGTTGCCCTAGCCATATAAATACAGCATTACACAGCAAAAACGGGACTTTTTTTGACACTTTTAACGTTTTTGCTCTCATTCTCCTCTAGAAAACACAACTTTCTAAGCTTAGGTGTCAAAAAGACGACTAAAACTCTTTCTCAAGAACTCTAATGAGCAAACTTGAGAGAGATCAAGTCATAGATATTTAGATTTAAAATCAAAGAAAGACACAAAAAAGATAAAAAAAAAGAGGAAAGGAGAGGAAAACAATTTCATTTTTGTGAAAGAACTTGGTGATTGTGCTTTTGGAATTGTGAAACAATACCTCTGAGTCAATTTCAGTACATGCAATCCTCAAATCTGGGGGCTAGGTAACGGTTCTAATCTCATTCTTTTACTTTTATTTATTTTTAGCATTCTACATCTTAAAAATCTCATTTTTGCGTTGATTAATTGATTTGCCTTTGACAAAACGTAAGTTTTCCTATTGTTGAGTCTTTCTGGGTCCATCATAATTACATTGGATAAAAAAGAAACGTAAAAAGGACTAGTTTGAAAGGTAGTTGCGGACCAGAGCAGCCGCGTCACGCAGGTAGTAGCTGCGTGACGCAACAGTTGAAAGGTAGTTGGGACTCAGAGCAAGCCGCGTCACCAGCTACCTACCTGCGTTGACCGCCGTCACGCAGCTACTACCTGCGTGACGTGACTGTTCATGTCCAAAAGTCTTTGATTTGGACTGTACCACCTGCGTGACGCATCTATTCGTGTACCCAGTATATTTTCGTTCTCATATTCATAGTTAATGTGATATTTTGGATTAATAATTAATAAAACTGGGAATCTTAATAAGTCACAAATAGTTCCGTCGCGCAGCTAGGAATTCTGTCACGCGACTGTTCTTCATAGAACACCCGCGTGACGCGACTGTTCTAAAAGTTCCGGAATGAATAAGGAGAGTTGCGCCATGCGACTGTTCTTCATACTGTCCTTCATAGAACACCCGCGTGACGCGACTGTCTTGGAATTCCAGAATAGTTCCCTTATTTTGTTTTAATTTCACATTACTAGGTAGGTCTTAATCCTAACTCAGAAGATGATCAATTATGGGTAAACTAAAGCTTTAATCAAACCAGATCAATTAATTATTAATGATTATGAGATTTTTTAGGATTTATTTCCTTTTGTTTATCGTTAATTATACTATCAAACCCGGTTTGTGGCCCGCCTTTAACCATAAGGCAAGAGCGGGTCTTTTATTAATGTGCTATGGATGAATGATGGATGTGGTGATTTATATTTTATTTGTGATGAATTGCAATGAATGGAACTTGATTGGGACGGTTAATAATTTTCATATTAGGAACTCAGTTTGATTTATTCGGGCTGCGGTTTTTAAATAAATTAAATAATTGGCCTTTTCTAAAAAAATTCAATTAGAAATTGTAAGGTTAAAAGAGGCCGGTTTTTCCGGGCGATCGGCTTCCAACGCGGCCGACGTACCCAATTCCCTTACCTAGAACCTCTCCGGTTCGCACTGACCAGTTTTTTCAAATAATAAAAGGCCTTTGATAAAAATGGGTTAAAATGGAGTCACTTTTATTAAAATAAAATTGGAAACGGTCCATTGCGAAAAAAATGCGGTGGCAACTTAAATATTTTATAAGACCGATTTAAATCGGCATCGCATATCAAAAAAGTTTTATCACCTTTTTTTCCAAAACTTTTAAAACAAATAAAAAGAACATTTTTTTTCGAAAAGATCCTTCTGGGGTTAGGGCCAACTTCACTGGGGATTGAACCCAACTAATCCCCGGGTTGTTTTTTTAATAAATAATTTAAGTTGGTTGCAATTAGGAATTGACTCTAAAAGCCTATTTATTTTCTAAATTAAAATTGGTTAGAAAAAGCCGTTGGAAAGTTTTTAATCGTCCATATGTGTTTAATTGCTTCCTTTTTTCTTCTTAGGATTTTTGCATTCTTTGCATTTCCTTGCTTCTCACCTCATTCTACCCATACTACCCTTCGGTTACTGTGTTATGGTGTTAAGTTTGACGGTGGATCTAGCCTAGACCATGCGATTTAGGTGCATCCATCCGAGAATTAACATTACTACCAACCGCAAGCCTAGTACTTAAAGGTGCGTCAAAAGGAGTAGGCCCAACAAAGCTCAAATCCTGTTTGTGGAACCCAGACCTTGTTCAGCCCGATTAGACCGAAACCCATGCACATAGTTCAAAGCCTTAGTTACTTCCCCTAGGGTGCGCCCGATTCTATTTGCTATTGTAATGCCGCATTCATTTCCGAGAGTTTATATTGTCAATCTCAAAACCCCCTGTTGGTTGTCGAGATTAGACCAATTTCTAGGAAAAAGATGTCGGAATTTATAAGCCAATGGAATTCGTGTGCGGGAGAAATAAGGTTGGAAGGCATGCATTTCCAAACTGCCGCTCCCGTTCCCCTGTGTGATATAAACTGTACATATGTTGTGACATTCATGCACCATGTAACATTTTTCTTTTTCAGCCATGCATTAATAAGAGTTAATGTCCGGTATGGACATTTGATCTTGATTTTGAGACTGGACCTCAAATTCGTTTTGAATAATAATGCAATCGCTTATTGTGAATTAATGCCCGAAAGAAAAGGGAGCTATAAGGGGGTTGCAATTCCTTTGTATTTTTACATTTCTCGCATTATCTGAAAATAAGTGAGAGATTAGAAAATTTGTAATAAAAAAATGAAATCCTGCTTGGGACCATATGTTCCAAGGCAAAAAGTAAGGATACAAAGAATACGCAATAACAAAAATAATAAAATCCCGCTCGAAAATTCTTTCATTCCGCTCGAAATCTTCATTCCGAGGCAAAAGTTAGGGATTGAGAGCAAAATAGTCGATCGTAAATCACAAAAGGAACGATCGACGACAGATGACGACAGATAATGCCTGAAATGTTTAAGTACAAAATAAGTTATTGATGTATTATCCATACCGAATTTTTGGTCCAGTCGTCGAAATCAAGATTTTATTTCCATGCTGGCTTTAGCACATTAGAAAGGCACTTCTCATCCTATGTGCTTTCATTTTCGCATGCATACATGTAGGGCCCTCTTTAACTCAGAATTTTTGTATCAGAATTGATCCTTCCCGAGAAATTACTTCGAGAGCTTGGAGCCGACATCCTGGTCAGCGTCTCGTCAGAATCTCCCCAATCCCCGAATTTGCTCCAGCTAACTCCGTGAATCAGTCAAGTTCATCAGATTCAGAGCCCGATTCAGACTCAGTAGAAATGGCCGATAACACAGAAAACGAGACCGAATTTTCTGAGGTTCAGATAAGAACTATTGCTCAGATTGTGGCTGCAGCTCTTGCTCAAGACAGGGCACAGAACCAGACTCCTCCTGGACCAAGCAGACAGCCTGTGGTTGAAGAGAGGCAAGACCCGGAACCTGTGTCAGATAATCAAACTTCTGTGGGAAATGCCACATCTGTTGAGAATGATGTGCTCAAGCAGCTTGCCGATCTGAAGGAAAAATTCGACAATATGGCTGCAATGAAAGAAAAAGACCCGGTCACCAAAGAAAAAGACCCGGTCACCAATTTTCACGTGACCGAGTATGTTTTGCACCCGACCAGTTCAGCTTCATTTAAAACATTCAAGCATTCTGTATTTGAAGGAGACAATGACCCTCGTTCTCACTTGTCTGAATTTCTCCGAGTATCCCAGATGAACCGGTATAACGAGGAAGATGTCTTGCGCGCATTTCCACAAACACTGCACAAGGATTATAAGAGATGGTATGACGGATTAGATGAGGAGGTTCAGAAGAATTGGATCAAACTGCAGACAGCTTTTCTCAAGCATTTTAAGACTGAAGAAAGTGATGAATTCAGTCTGCGGGATTTAGAGAGTTTAAGACAGGGGAAAGATGAAAGCTTTTCCGATTACTATAGAAGGTGGAGAACGAAGCTGTACAGGGTGCAGACAAGGCCAAAAGACAAAGAGCTGATTAGAATCTTTAGCAGGAGCCTACTGCCTTTCTTCAAGGAAAGGATGTTGACTCAGCCGCTGACTGATTTTTCTTTGGTTCAAAGTGCTGGTCTAAACATCGAGGAGCTGTATAAGGAAGAAAAGAAGAAGAATAGAGGGTTTGGTAACTACCGGACTGTAACTTACCGGACTTCTTATGGTGACAGAGGTGCCGGAAGCCAGTAATCAGAAACCAGTCAGGAAATAACAATGCTATATGGGATCGTTAATGAAAATTCGTAGGAGAGAGTTCACTGATTTGGGGAGACCCGTGAGCACAGTACTGAGATTCTTTGTATCAAGAATGGGGTGTTGTCGAAGTTGCCCAGCTTGATACCGACTAAACCAAATTCGGAGGGAGGTACATGCGACAGAGAATTGTTGATTATCATCAGTGCAAGGGGAATGATTATCATCAGTGCAAGGGACATTCAACTGATGAATGTTTCAAATTGAGGCATGATATTCAAGACTTGATTGACAGTGGGAAGATTACTAAGCCATCGGATAAGAGTAAGCCCAGCACCAAGAACAATCCGCTTCCCCAATATCAGTACAATTATCCACCTCGTAAGTCTCATTCGGGCGGATCGGTTAATGCAATTGGGAGCGGGTTATCAGAAGAGGTAGTATTAGCTGAAGCAGAGTAGGAAGAGTGGATGTGCGCTATGTTAAACATATGGGATGACTGTAGTAGTGATGAGGAAGAAAAGGTGCCAGTGAAGATTGAAATCGAAAAAAGTATCACTGTGAAAGTAGGTGATGTAGATGAAGATGAATAGCTCCAGCTGGCCATTCAGAAGAGCTTAGCTGACCAAGAGGAACAATGGTATTACAGCAGTGAGGAAGAAGTGAATGAAGTAGGTGTTTAGAGCCTGACCCGCAGTGGGCGAGTGTATAATCCCAAGAACGGTATGCAGACTAGGGGAAAAGAGATTGCTGTTGATGGAGCAAAGAAGAAAGTGACAGAGAAAGACGAGGGGAAGCCGAAAGAGAAAAAGAATGAGGAAGAGGGTCGTAAAAGGCAAAAGAAGACTGTCGAAGTTGGAGAAAGCAGTCAGAACAAGACACCTAGCGGGGTGACCGTGTAACATCCCTTCCCGGTCCACCCGTTAACCCGAATGAACCGAGCGAGACGCTACAATTTGGTTGAACTTATGTCCTGTCATGCTGATATCATCCTGTATGCTAAATATAAATAAAATAAAATACAAACACTCCCAATTAAACTCCCAAACTTCAACATTTCCAAATAATCATCATAACACAATAACACTTTATATATATATTTTCCTAAACTGTATAATTTCCTCAATAGCATTTAATCTCCAGCAATTAATTTGCATCATTATAGTATATAGGTACTGCTTCATAACTCCATTTATAAATACATTGATATCACAACTGCTTTGATATGTGAATTTAGTTTCAATCTTTAATTAACATTGAACGAGTCATTCTATGATATGATTATTGGTATTATTAGTCTCCAACTACTTAGTTGGAGATAATGTAACTCAATTACTTATGACATGATTTGTGAAGATTGAAATATAATATCCAAAATAATTACTATGCCTTCATATCTATTAAGTTTATCAAAGTCACATAGCGTCTTAAGACAAGATCGTAATAATATAATACATAGACCCATTAAATCGTAATACATGCCAATAATCTTAATTATATAAACTCAATCTGACTATGACAAATTAATCACTTCTGTTTAATAAGTACTGTTCAAGTCTTCAAGTAGCAACCACGTATCTTCAACCTACCGCGTGATAAAAACGCGTGATAAGAATCGACGCGCTGAGTATAAAACTCAGTGGTGCTCATAACTCACATTAACAGAGTGCGATGGCAACTAACTTAAAAGACAATTTTCATAAAAGCATTGATAATCATAAAAGCAGTAAATTTCAACATAAATGTATCTTTATAGTGAAGAATAAACTTCTAATCCATAACATAAATAAGTGAGTTCTAATTATCTCATAACTCCTTTTACATGAACCTTTAATCACACATATCATGATACTATCATGATCTTACCTGCTATTCATTATGTTGTATGAATGAATCAATGAATAAGTAAGAATACATAACAGTATATTTTCATTGTCTTACTTGCTGTTCATTATGCTGTATGACTTATGCACTTTTTAGTCACATCATATAAGTTATGATTAAGTTACATCATATAAGTTACATCAGATAAGTTATGATTCCTAACATCTCATGACTGTATGGCTCCTTAAAGATTCAATAAATAAACGTGTAAGCATATATCGCATTATACTTTCATGATCTTACCTGATGTTCTTTATGCTCTTATTAAAAATTTCAGTGAAATATTCGCAACGAAGAAGAAACATATAAGCACATACTATGGTAGAAATAAACATGTACTCACCATATGGCATTGTAAGCACAATATCATGATTACTTTCATTATCATACTTGAAACTGCCTCATTATACTTATGATTATGTATTTTGTAGTCAATTATAACTGTTTATAGCTCCTATAAGGTTATAGGTGAACCGAAGTTGATAAGAAAAACTGTATGAAAACTGGATGAAAACTGTTATGCTTGGCTGCTATGGCCGATTTATATAATCATATCCACTCAAGGCCTGTAGCCCGGTGCGAGTACAAAACTGTAATGGGGCGCAGATCTGACTATCCTATGCGCGACATAGGCCTTAACTACATGGTTTCTACCTAACCTCAATGAGCATTTAATGCGTATGTCAAGTAGATAAAAACAAAAGCATAGTAAATGTGTGTTCATAATTTTGACATGCTCTGTGTCATGTTATTTTCACATGCTTGTGTACATAAAATTAACTGCTTTCATAATTTCATTAAAACCTTTACTTGCTTTTACCTTGTATCGCTGATAGGCCTTCTGCCGAGGGCCAACTTGTGTTCATGTATAAGATATTCACATGTAACACCCCTTTCCCGGTCCACCCGTAAACCCGAACATCGAACCGAGTCGAGATGCCTACAAACTGGTTGGGGACTGTATGATTAGACTGCTGATTCATAATACCTGAATATTTATTTATACATTATACAATGTTGTTCAAAAATGAGATGGGCCCAACTGATGTGCCCATGTTACATAGCCATGAAAAGCAATTAATAAAGGCAGAACATTAATCAAAATAGGGAGCTACCCTGAAAGACTGTGTCTTCTACAGATGAACTGTGCAGTTGTACAGCTGACGCTCTCTAGACCAGTCTCAAAAAACCTGCGAGTTAAAACTAGGTAACTCGTGAGGCAAAATAAATGCTCAGTGGATATCTCAACAAATAAAGTGAAACAATTAAACGCATACATATATAGAAAGAACCATTGGAAACATATATGGCAATATAAGCTCACACATTAATGATTTACTTTCATGATTATCTTGATTATCTTTATGTTACTGTTTATAATCCTGATATAATTCATGAAATGTTATGTCAAGATTAATCTGAATAGCTCCCATATAGGTTTTATAGTTGAAACGACAGTGATAGAGTAAACTGTATGAAACCGGGTGAAACTGCTATGCTATAGCCCGAACCGGATTCGCCTATGCCAATAATGGTTCCGTTTTGGTGCCCCAACCGGCATTCGCACGCGCACGTTTAATCATATCACTCAACGCCTGTAGCCAGGAGTTTTCCAAAACTGTAGGCCTATGGGGCGCAGATTCTGCTATTCTATGTTCGCGAAATAGAAACTTATCTACATAGTTTCTACCTAACCTCAATGGACTTTAAGTATTAGGCATGTCAACAATGTAACACAAATAGCACATAAAATGCGTTTCAACAACGGTTCATCGCTTTCATCATTATTGATTTGATTTCGCATCAATATGATGCTTGTATTGTTTTAATCCATGTTTCTTATGTCTGTATTTTTGTTTGTAAAAATGATTGGATGCATTGCATGTGAGCAAAGGAAATGTGAGATATTACAAGCAAATGAAAGGCAAAAGGAGTGTCACAGCACAAGCCGCGACCGCGTATCTGAAAGTCGCCGAGCGCGACTTTAGTGCATCCTGAGGAGTCAGTGTGTTTCTTGGCTGAAGTCGCGGACCGGCGCAGCACAAGTCGCGAGCGCCAGATGGAAGTCTGCGAGGCGCTTGTTGTGGATTCGCGAGCTGCGAGATGCCGCACACTGAGAGTCAGAGAGCTTCTGGCCAAAGTCGCGACCGGCGCATGTGATCCTCGCCGGGAGCGGCGAGTTTGTGCAATTGAGAGTCAGAGAGGCTACCTGACTCAAGTCCGCGCACGTGCCAACAAAGCCAGATCATCTAACCACAATAGCCCGAACTTTTATCGTAACCCCACCCCCACCACCGCATCACAAAGAGCGCGCCATAGGAAATCGGCGCACAGCTATTGAGTGCCGACTGCTTGTCCCATGTAGAGTATGCCACAGCAGGGAAATTTTACGCCCCGCGCGACCGTGATTCTGTAATGCAGTCTTGTTCTTGGCCATAAACTCTCAATACTAACTCCAAATTGAATGATTCAACAAGCCATTGTAAAAGCTACCACAGAAGAGGAACAAATCAACTCTTCTATGACATTCCAATCCATCATTTTCATATGGGTTCAAAAATCAAGATGAAGTTGCCTGGGGTAACATTTCCAAGCAAAACTCTGTTTTCCTGTTCATATATTCATCGCGCCCCTGTTTTTCAGATCATTTTCCAGTACTTCCAGCACCCCCCAACAACAAGAACATATCATCATTGGCAACACCACCCACAAAATTTACAGCAAAGAAATAGTTATGACCAAGCATGAGATATTCAAACCTGGACATGGTCAAAAAAGGTTTTGACCTGTTTTAGCTTCCTCTTTTCTGCAAAACTTTTTGGAACTTTCTTCTCCTATACACCAGAATTCTCATTAACTCTACATCTCCAATATATAACTCAATTAAAGATGTGAAAACATATAACTTCAAGGAATTCTAACTTACTTGGATAGTGGACTTACTGCTGTTAACTTGCATTGAAAACGTCGACCTGCAGGAAATGGCAAAGGGAAACTTAAGAGAAAATGGAAAAAAAACAGTGGAGAAAATAGGAAAAGTGAAAATGGTACCTCAATTGTCAATAGGTTACAACTTAATACCTAAGCTTTATAGTTTAGTGCAAGTAAGTCCTAATCCTTATACTTTGATCTTTTTATTTTATTCAAGTAAGTCCACTTTTTATCATTATTATAGTAAATCCCATACTACCCCACTCTGGACTCTAATGGCTCAAACCGAGTTTTGGTTCAACCCGACTCAACTCGACTCTATGCAACGACTCGATACAGTAGGATGTCATAGTTCTCCCCTTCTAAATAAAAAACTTCGTCCCGAAGTTTACCCGTTGTGAACAAATGTGGATACTGTTGTCGCATGGTTTCTTCAGATTCCCAAGTTGCTTCTTTTGCTTCTGTCTTGATTCCTCCAAAGAACTTTCACCAATTGCTATTATTCTTGATTCCGCAATTCTTTAGTTTCTTTTTTGGCAGGGAATCTGAACTCGGTTCTTCTTCATACGTGAGAAAGATCCGGACTAATTTCAATCCTTCAGCTACGTCTTGCTATAACACAATCGTAGGGGTCTGATTCTGTATCTTCTCAACATGAGATACTATGAAATACATTATGGGATTCGATCTAAGGGTTGGAGGGTATGCTAGGCGAAGGCTAATGGTCCTACAGCGTTCAACAATCTCGTATTTGGACCAATGAACCTAGGACTTAGCTTACACCTTTTTTGATCCCAAACTAGGACTTAGCTTACCCTTTTGTCCAAACCTTAGGATCTTCTTCCATGGTGAAACCTTCAAAAATACTTTATCCCCAACTGAATACTCAATATCCCTTCTCTTTAAATCAGCATAGGACTTCTGTCGATCACTTGCTTCCTTCAGCCGTCTTCTGATGATTTCTGCTTTCTCTTCTGTGTCTCTCACCAAATCTGGACCCAAAATCTTCTTCTCACTAAGTTCTGTCCAACATACAGGTGTTCTGCATTTTCTACCATACAATGCTTCATAGGGTGCCATCTTGATG